GGAGCAGGTATGGAAACCCAGCATTCGATTCGCAATTTTTTGGCGCGGGGGGGGGGGGGGGGAGTGGGTCGATCAGAGCTGTTCTAGCTTTCGATCCTCGAGTGGATAGAAAGGGACAAATCAGCGCAAGTTTTGGAGGGATTCTTATCATGTTTCATTGGTCTGTTTGATTATTTTCAGGCGGCATGTATAGTGTTTTTATATATTATAACCTTCCTTAACCCCCAACATCTCTTCTGTCATCATTCTTGATGCAATTGTTGGTGCAGATGTGCAGACGAACGATTGCTTGTCGAATAACGGTGGCTGTTGGCAGGGCTACAACCTCACTGCATGCAAGGTAAGATTCTTGAGGCGTCTAAGACTACGTTGACTGCTGCGAGGTACAGCATGGAAGTGTGTTCTTGCAGGTCGCATTCCAATCAAACTCAACAGAGCACCAGGTTCTCTTCAGATGTGGAGATGAATGTAACATTGCTTTGTGCACAATAAGGTCGTTTGGAAGCTGGAGACATGGCATGCTATGCCTATGCCCTTGCACATACTACAGATCTGTAGTGCGTGATCACACACGCCTCCTCCCATGCGCCCCCTTTCCATTCCTTCACCACACACATACCCGAAGCCGAGTGCTCTGAGAAGTGCATGTCATCACCACGTGCACATCTCGTTCTTCACCCATGCTGCCGTTTCCCTCCACGCCACGCTACCAGGACACCTTCTGAGAGCGAGTGTGCGAGTGCCCCAAGGACCCTTGAGTTTTGAGCCAACTCCAAGTTCAGCACACCTCTGCCCCTCCCATGCCACACCAACAGGACACGTTCCGAGGGCGAGTGTGCGAGTGCCCCAAGGACCCCCAGACTGGCGTGTATCTGTCGGGCGATGGCTACACCAAGTGCGAACGTGAGTGCATGCGGATTCGTGTTCCACAGGGATAAACTGTTTTTGGTCGGGTTGGGGGTGGGAAGGAGGAATATCATTGCTTCAGACTGGCATTGCGCCTGTCAAGGGATGCTTACACGTGAGCACGGTGCAGTGGATTGGTGTGGCTGGGCTTGGTTTCGCTGGGCTGGCCTGGGCTGGGTTGGGCTGGGCTGTGCTGGGCTGTGCTGGGTTGGGCTGTGCTGGGCTGTTCTGGGCTGTGCTGGGTTGGGCCAAGTTTGATGTGGGTCTCTGTCTCGTCAACAACAGGGGCTGCTGGCATAGGGGGCTTATGTGCTCTAACAACAGGGGCTTATGTCCTTTCCCCTTTCCTCTTCGCCCCCATCCGTCCGCTGCAGCTACGGGAGTGGGTCGCTGTTTGGTCAACAACGGGGGCTGCTGGCAGGGGGCTGGTGACGGCCAAACCTTCACTGCTTGCCAGGTGCGTTGCTTCCGGTCCAGACGGCTAATCCGTCACTGTGTGCCAGGCTTGTTGATTCTAGACAGCCAAACCTGCCTGCCACGTGTGTTGCTTTTTCTTGTAAACGAGACACACGTCACTTGGCATGAATCTGAACCTGAATCTGAATCTGAACCTGAACCTGAACCTGAACCTGAACCTGAACCTGAATCTGAACCTCGTTTGCTTGCCAGTGCCAGGTATAGGACGAAGCTTGTGTGAGGCTTCAGGTGGGACAGGTTCAAGTGTGAGGACATGGACGATTGTGCAGAGCACAGCACCGGACAGCATCGTTGCTCACCTTCCTAAACCCAACCCCGCCCTCTTCTCTCATCCTTTCCACCCTTTCACACCCGAGCAGGACAGCTAGTCCACCAGTGTGTGTGCCCGCCAGGCTTCAGGGGAGATGGGTACAAGTGTGAGGGCATAGACGAGTGCTCCGAGCACAGCCCCCGTCTCGCCTCCACCCCTACCTATTCTTGCACCTCCATTACCCCTTCAATCCAAGCAGGACAGCTCATCGACGCAGTGTGTGTGCCCGCCAGGCTTCCGGGGAGACGGGTTCAAGTGTGAGGACATAGACGCATCCTCCGAGCACAGTGCGTCTCACCTTCAGTCCCTAATCTTGCACCTCCATTGCACCTCCATTGCCCCTTCAATCCAAGCAGGACAGCTCGTCAACTCAGTGTGTGTGCCCACCGGGCTTCAGGGGAGACGGGTTCAAGTGTGAGGACATAGACGAGTGCTCGGAGCACAGCGCATGCAGCTGTGTGGACTGCCACTGCAAGAACACCTTTGGGTCGTACGAGTGCTCGTGCTACAATGGACTGGTTTATCTCAAGGACTCGGACACTTGCATCAGTGAGTAGCTTGCCTCCATAATTGGCTTGTCTTGTCTGCGTTGGCTTGCCTGTTACCGCACCGTCATTGAAGAAGTGTTTTGAGACGTCTCAAAACACCGCACCGTCATTGCCTCTCGGCTCGTACGAGTGCTCCTGCTACAACGGGCTAGTCTATCTCAAGGACTCGGACACGTGCATCAGTGAGTGATGTGAATGGTTGAGTGACCTGGTGTTGGGATGTGATGTGAATGAGGAGTGTCAGTTGCCAACCAAGAACACTGTTGAGTCGTACGAGTGCTCCTGCTACAACGGGCTGGTCTACCTCAAGGACTCGGACACTTGCATCAGTGAGTGGCTTGCCTCTGAGTCTCGTGAATGAGAGAGCTGCTGTTGGGATGCAAATGAGGAGCGTTGACTGCCACTGCAAGAACACGTTTGGGTCGTACGAGTGCTCGTGCTACAACGGGCTGGTTTACCTCAAGGACTAGGACACTTGCATCAGTGAGTTGGCATGCATGGGTGTGCATGTGGCATGCATCAGTGAGTGGTGTGCTGTTGGGATGTGAATAAGGAGTGTCATTCGTTCGTCACTGCACGAACACGTTTGGGTCGTACGAGTGCTCTTGCCACACCGGGCTGGTCTACCTCAAGGTCTCGGACACATGCATCAGTGAGTATCTTACTTGTTGGTGCACAAACGTAGGTTGTGCACCGTCAGTGTGTTTGAACCATCAACTTAGGATCCCCACCTGCAGCTGAATGCGGCGTGCCCACCACACGGCTGTGAGTCTATTTGAGTGGACTCATAGTATCCCCTCTTTTCTCTTCCCTCCCCCCCTCCCTCCCTCCCCCATTCCCTGCCTGCCTTCGCCCCTCGCCACCTGCAGGCAAGGAGGGAGGCACACCGCCCACGCGGCTGTGGGGAATGGTGGCGGGCATTGTGCTGGGCTCACTCGTGGTTGTGGCCATCGTGGCTTATGTCGTGTACAAGTACCGCCTCAGGGTGAGTGCAGGCTTAGGGTGAGAGGAGGGTCAGGGTGAGTGGAGGGTGAGGGTGAGTGGAAGGTCAGGGTGATTGGAGGGACAGGGTGAGTGGAGGCCTGTGTTGTGTTGTGTCTGCAGTCAATGTAGTGCCACGTTTGCTATGCACCATTTGGCACCATGCACTACAGTCGTTCATTGCCCCCTTCCTCTCCGTCGACCCCCCCCTCTCTCGTTCACATGCCAGTCATACATGGACTCGGAAATCCGGGCCATCATGGCGCAGTACATGCCGTTGGACAGCCAGAACGACCAGCAGGTGGCACGGCAGCCCATGCTCAACAATGATGACGAGTTCTCCGCGTAACCACTTGTCTAAGGAATGTTGTGTTACACAGCTGGTTACACTTTTTGGAAAGAGTGGTGGTGTGGTAAATTTAGGGTGCTGCTGCTGAGGCAGTGGCCACTGCACCGTGTGATACGAAAATATTGGCGCTCAAATGCACTGTGCAGTAAATTGTGGATAGGTGTGTTTTTTTTCGTACATAGCAGTGCACTAGGGGATGCTTTGGGCACCTCCATTTAACATAGATGTAGTACAGTTGACTGACGTGTCCGATATTGAGTTCACATGTCAGAGTGTGCGGTACACACTACTTGTGTTAGCGTACAGCAATACTTCAGATACCGCTTGACTCGACTTGCAAGAGATCTTAAACATGTTCGGTTTCTGAAAGACGGTGTACACATCCCAATTGCATTTGTAACGGATCTGCGAACCTTTTGGTGAAAGCTAGCAACTCAATGTTGAGTATAAATTCACCAGCAGTAACATATTCTATCTCCAGCACATCACAGATTCACATCGCCGAGCGCACCAACGCAGCATAAAAGCACAGTTGTGAAGTCCAGCGCATCGCGCGCACAGCTGCTGCATGGCCGACCGCGCGCCGCGCTGGAGGTTGCTCCGTCCCGTGTCGCTTGAAGGTCAGGCGAAATGTTCAAGATTCTCAAGCGACATGCACATCCTAAAGTGGGAAATATCGCCACAAGGATGACTGGCAGTGCGAATGCCCATGCCCTCGCCATGCCTTCGCCATGCTCTCAGCATCTCCTACCAGGGTCATGGTTGCTAGCATGGTCCCCACTGACGCGTCCGCGCATCTCGCGTGCGCATGTCTGTATCGCTCTGTCGCGCGTTCATTCGCCGAGCTGCTTCGCTGGCCTCTCGAAACCTGCCAGCGTCGCGGTGGAGAGAGATGCTGCGCCGGAGGTGCCCTGACATGACGTCAGCGCGCTTTTCATGCGCTTTCGAAGGGCCACGCGGAGGGCGTCGCATCATCAACCAGCGCGCGGCTCGATTTTGTTTGAGGGGACGCCTCAAAAGCTCAATGTCCGCATACCGAGGCGCGCATCTCTCTTCAGGCCGAGGCTTGTTCGTCTCCGTTCTACCTTCAGTGGGTTCCCTTTCGGGTGTTTCTTGTTCGCGATTCGAAATTGCGTGCTAGGGCTTCGGTTTGAGAGGGAGAGTGGTTGCAGAGTAGCCAGGGCGATACAATCGACGCACACGTAAATTGTTTTCGGTTCGAGCTTGAAGCTGCCATCAGGTTTACAGTGAGCTTTTTAATCTTGCTCTCGTAGGGACGGACGATATATTTCGTTTTCCGTTACAAGCGGTGCCACACACTGCACCGACCATCCTCTTGCTTCTAAAGATCGCGATAGATCACCCATAAGCGCAGCTCACATCCGCTTGCTCCGTACGCTGTAGTGGTTGATTCAGTAAGCGCAGCAGCATGGCGGCGGAGGTTGGCCGCGCGGGGGGTGCGCCTGGCGGCGGAACCAGGGAAGCTCCGGCGGAGCGGGAGAGGGCGCTGATCCACGTGGCGGCGCCGCCCGCGAGTCTCAAGGAGAAAATCGAGGAATGGTGGGAGCAGATCGGGCGCGAGCAGCACCAGGCGCGGCGGGAGGGGAAGTGGGGCGGAGGGGAGAGGGCGGCGGAAGGAGGGAGGGCGGAAGCGGGAAGGGCGGAAGGGGGAAGGGCAGAAGGAGAGGCGGAGAGGGAGAGGGCGTGGAGGGTGACTGCAGACGAGGTGACTGAAAAGAAGCTGGTTGCCGTGAGCCAGGTGCTGGCGCTGCTGCCCATTTCACTCTTCCCTAAAGTCACAACGGGTATGGCCCACCTTCTGAACTACCTCGGGCGCGTTGTGACCTGCTTCTTGATAAGACTGCCGCTTTTCCCCCCATGAACCAAACATCCTCCCCCTCCTTCTCCCCTTCTCGCTGACTCCATCCTCCTCCCCTCACTATGTTTTCCTGCAGTGCACGAGTTGACAGCCAACACGATTCTTTATGATGCCAACAAGCCACTGTCACACCACAGCCTCACCACCGTGCAGCTCTTGACATCCCTGACACTGTCCTCTTGACCTTCTTAACCCAACCCCCCCTGCCCCCCTCCCAGTACACAAGGTGGCGGCCCCAATATGACTCCGTATGATGCCATTAAGCTGATTTTTGAGTCGACTAAAAAATATGACTCCGTATGATGCCATTAAGCTTCTCTCTAGCCACAGCCTCACCACCGTGCCCATCTTCTCCTTATCCCTGCACTACTCTTATCCGCCTCGGCCCACACAGTGCACGAGGTGGCAGCCAACACGATTGTTTATGGTGCCATCAAGCTGCTCTCACGCCACGACCTCACCACTGTGCTCCTTACCCCCTCCCCCCTCCCCGTTTCTGCACCACTCTTTCGTCCAGTGCACGAGGTGACAGCCAATACGACGCTGTACGATGCCATTAAGCTTCTGTCCCGCCACAACCTCACCACTGTACCCGTTAGAAGCATTGCTGGGGAGGCTGCAGGGAGGTCCCGGGGCAGGGGCGGGGCAACGGACGTGCAGATGACTGAATCAGAGCAAGAGGAGGGAGTGGAAGGTGTGGAGGGAGGAGGAGAAGGCGAGGGAGCAACAGGGATCGTGGAAGAGCCAACAGAGGGAGGAGGGGAGATGGAGGAGGAAACATTGGAGGAGGTGGAGGTTGAGGAGTGGGAGCCGCAGTATTTGGGCATGATGGATTTGGCAGGCGCTGTTATCCTCTGGGTCTTTGCCAATGTGAGTGTGCCCATGTATTGGAGTTGCTTTTGCTAGTTCTCTGAAGCAATGAACACAGTAGTTGATATCCCGCCCTCCTGCCCTCCTGCCCTCCTGCCCTCCTGCCTTCCCGCCCCTTGCAGCTCGAAGCATCTTCGATTGGATACGCCACGGCATCAACCCTCGCTGCCTCCCTTGTCGGCTCTTTCGTCGCAGCAGCTGGGGCAGCCGCTGTCGGAGCTTCGGCCGGACCTGCAGCAGCCGCGGCAGCCGCCGGAGCTGCAGCCTCGGGAGCCCTGGGAGCCCAGGCCTCCACTGGGGAAGGCGCACCTGGGGAATCAGCAGGAGCCATGGCTTCTTCCCCTCGCACCGGCCGCTTTTTTTTCGAAGCGCTTCTAAAGAATGAGGCATTTCACACCACGCGGGTTGCGGATCTGGCGGGATCGTTCCGCTGGTCGCCCTTTGTGTATCTCAAACCGTCGGATACGCTCCTCACGCTCTTCCTCCTCATGTCCAAGTACGTGCTCTGCTCCTCTTTGTCTCTAATGTTGCTTCTCAAGAACGAGGCATTTCACACCACGTGAGTTGCGGATCTGGCCGGATCGTTCCGCTGGTCGCCCTTTGTGTATCTCAAGCCGTCGGACACGCTCCTCACGCTCTTCCTCCTCATGTCCAAGTATGTATCCAATTATTTTGACTCCAGTCCAATATCGCTTCTTTTCTCAGTTTTGAGACGTCTCAAAACCAGTATCGCCTTTCACTCTCTTTTCTCTCTGTCTCCAATCTTCGAGGCGCCAAAAAAATCGCCACAAAAACGACTCAGCTGTCGCTTCGTCTCACACCCTTTTTCCTTACGTACAGAAACGCGATCCACTCTCGTTTCCAAAATCCCCTCAAAAGCATCCGCTGTTCCTTCTCCATCCAGTATTGCTTCTCAAGCAGTCCTTCTCCCGCTCTTTTCCCTCGTATCCAGGTATGCCATCCGCTCCGTGCCAGTGCTGCCGCCCGGCCCCGAGTCGGCAATCTCGACGGTGATCACGCAGTCTGCTGCGGTGGGCTTTCTGTGCGAGTGTGACGGCATGCCCTGGTTCAACTCCATTGCCGATTGCACTCTGGCGGAGCTGGGGCTGCCGCTCATGCAACCTGAAGAGCTTGTCAAGGTACGGTGTGGTTGAATATGATGTAAAGGAATCATGGGTCAGCAATCTCGACGGTGATCACGCAGTCTTCTGCGGTGGGCTTCCTGTGCGAGTGTGACGGCATGCCTTGGTTCAACTCCATTGCTGACTGCTCTCTGGCTGAGCTCGGGCTCCCTCTCATGCAACCAGAGGAGCTTGTGAAGGTACAGTGTGGTTGAGATGGGTTTATGAGAGTTACACTTGGCTGAGCGTAACATGCGATGGCAGCATAGCATCGCCTTCCTGTGCGAGTGTGACAGCATGCCAAGGCTGGTTCAACTCCATTGCTGATTGCTCACTGGATTAGCTCAAGCTGCTGCATGCGACCTGAAGAGCTTGTCAAGGTACTGTGTGGTTGATGCTGTTGATATATGTGCTCCATGTGTAAAGGCTCGAGGGTAGCCTGTAAAGGTTTCATCGCCATCCTGTGCGAGTGTGATGGCATGCCATGGTTTTCGCCCTCGTGTTCCTCCCTCTCCTCCCTCCCCCCTTCTCCTACTCCAGGTGGAAGATGATGCAGCAGTGACGGAGCCATTTCGGCTGAGGATGGAGCTCGACATAGGAGGGGTGCCCGTGGTGGCTAAAGAAACCATCCTTCTTCCCCTTGCTCTCTCCCCATCTCCCACCCCTCCTGCTTCTCACAGGTAGAGGACGATGCAGCAGTGACGAGCTCTTTCGTCTGATGATGGAGCATGACATAGGAGGGGTGCCCGTGGTGGCCAAGGGAACCAGCCGCATTGTTGCCTCTCGTTTCTCCCTCTTCTCCTCTTCCCTTCCTACTCCAGGTAGAAGACGACGCAGCAGTGATGGAGCCCTTTCGGCTGAGGATGGAGCACGACATAGGAGGGGTGCCGGTGGTGGCTAAGGGGACTATCCTTCTTCCCCTTGCTCTCTCCCCCTCTCGCACCCCTCCTGCTTCTCACAGGTGGAGGACCACGCAGCAGTGATGGAGCCCTTCCGGCTGATGATGGAGCATGACATAGGGGAGATCCCCGTGGTGGCTAAGGGCACTCAAGCTGTCTCCTTTCACTCCCCTTTCTCTTCCTAATCCAGGTGGAGGACGACGCAGCAGTGATGGAGCCCTTTCGGCTGACGATGGAGCATGAAAAAGGAGGGGTGCTGGAGGTTTCCCTGAACACGCTCCCTGCCCCTCCTCGTTTCCTTTACGTTCCAGGTGGAAGACGATGCAGCAGTGACGGAGCCCTTTCGTCTGATGATGGAGCATGACATAGGAGGGGTGCCCGTGGTGGCCAAGGGCACCAACCGCCTCATCGCCAACATCAGCGCGCGCGATATTTTGCACCTCGTGGGCACTCCGGAGATCTTTAAGCGCCGCCAGGAACAGTGAGTGGCGCCTTAGTTGCTCCCAGAGTAGATTGGGAATTTCGCACCTCCTGAAGCCTCTCAACTGTCTCATCGCCAACATCAGTGCGCGGGACAGACATTCTGCACCTCGTGGGCTCGCCGGAGATATTCAAGCGCCGCCAGGAGCAGTGAGTGGCACTTAAGTGGCACCAGAGGGGCACCTTAGGCAATATGTTGTGAATGGCACTGGGTAGAGTGGGACACTTCCTGAAACCCCTCCACCTGCCATGTCGCCGACATCAGTGCGCGGGACATTCTGTACATCAGTTCAGAGATTTTCAAGCAGCACTACCAAAGTTGAGTGACCAGGTATGTGTAATGTGTCAGGATGGCCGAGTTGGTCTAAGGCGCCAGTTTCAGGTACTGGTCCGAAAGGGCGTGGGTTCAAATCCCACTCCTGACATAGTTGCCCACCGCTTTTACTGGTCTTTTTTAGCTCTCAGTCTCCTCCCTTTCAGCACCAAAAGCACCACCATACTCGTCTCTGCCTTCTCAACAATTGCAGGGTGAGTGCAGAATTGGCATGTCTGATGTGTATGGAATGTGAAGAGATCTTCAAGGGTCGTTAGGAGAAGAGTACATTGGGTCTTTAGCACCTTCTGAAGACTCAACTGCATCGTGTGCCAACATCAGTGTGCGTGACAATCTCGCACCTCGTGGGCTCGCCAGAGATCTTCAAACGCCGCCAGGAGTAGTGAGTCGCACATAACAGCAGCCAACGAGCCAATCTCATCCGCTACAGAAGTGATCTGGCCGGTCATGACGCCCCCCATGACCAGCTTACCTACCCATTCCCCCCTTGCGCTGCAGCTCCTTCACTGTGCGGGACTTTATAGCAGCGGCGAATGAACCTAGCTCATCCGCTACACAAGTCATCTGGCTGGTCGGTCTTGATGCTCCCAATCACCTGCTCGCCCTCCCATGCACTTCCCTTCCCATTGCCCCCGTTACCAGGTCCTTAACTGTTCGGGATTTCATAGCAGCATCCAATGAACCTATTTCATCCACAACAGAAGTGATCTGGCCGGTCATGACCCCTCCCATCACCTGCTCTCCTACCACGCCTCTGCGCAACGTGCTACATGCTCTCAACCGCACCCACATCCACCGCATTTATGTCGCCTCCTCGCCTTCTCCTCCTGCCGCTGATACTCCTGCTCCTGCTGCTGCTGGGGCTGAAACTGGGGCTGGGGCTGAGGCTCCTACCGGTGCCTCTGCTGCTGCTGGTGCTGCTGGTGCTGCTGGTGCTGGTGCTGGTGGTGCTGGTGTTGGTGGTGGTGCTGGTGCTGGTGCTGCGAGCACGGGGCAGCAGGAGGTGGTGATAGGCGTGGTGACTCTGCGGGATATCATTGGCAAGTTCGCTGCTGTGCCGCCTGACGTTGCCCTGGCTGCTGGTGCTGACGTGGGTGGGGAGGAGTGAGGAGGGATGGGCAGGGGTGGGAAGGAGTGAGGGGGGTTGGAGAGGTTGAGAATGTGGAGGGCAGCAGCAGGAGGTAATGGGGGTGGTGACTCTGCGGGACATCATTTGCAAGTTTGCTGCCGTGCCGCCTGATGTTGCCCTTCCTGCTGGTGCTGACCTGGGTAGGGGTAGGGAGGAGTGGGGAGCGGTGGAGAGGTTTAGGAGTGGGGCAGTGGGCAGGGAAGTGAAAGCAGGAGTGAGATTATAGCAATGACTGTAAGGACAAATCACATGGGATAGTTGTTTCTCCGGATAGTTGCTGTGCTGATTTTCCCTTGTTGCAGTGCTCTTGCAATGTGGGGGAGAATACAGAAGGAGAAGCTGGGAAGGGTACTGTGATTTACTTGTACATAGTCACCATTCGACTTGTGTAATTGAGTACAATTGTAAATAGAGCATTTTCTGTGAAATCCAATCCGCCTAGGGAACTACTGGTGTGCTCTGCCCCTGTCGACAGGAAAACCAGATTGTGGTACCAGTAACTTTCTGGGATGCTAAATGTAGATTATAAAGACGGTGTAGCAGAGCAGCTATCTTCTGACACCTCACAGATTGGTTATTTTTTTGTAGTAGGAGTGAACCAGATAAAATTCAGAGTATTATGGAATAGAATAGCTCAGTTTGATTATATTAGCATAATTTACAGTTTGAAAAATAATCCTATCAATATTTACAGTTATACGTAACCATCAGAGCGCGAGGCAATATGCCAAGGCAAGCCTCCTTGCAAGCTAACATCACCACAGAGGGAGTCAGCAAGTCAGCAATTCACGGAGGAACAAGACGCGTTCCCCCTAAGAAAAGAGTTGAAGCAAGGCTTGCGTTGGCATCGACCTGGAATCCGGCACTCCCCATGGCTCCTTCATTATCGCCAACCGACGCGCGCGTCGGCGTCACCAAGTCAAGCGGGAGGTCGCAGAAAATTCTCCACACAGCGAACAGTAAGTCATAAAATCAGTCTTTAGACGTTTTTTAGCTTCTTAATCCCGGCGCAGCTCATGCGCCCGGCGCAGCAGGAGCGGCAGCAGCAACCCCTGCCGCTTGCGCAATCCCCGACCGCTCGTGCTGCAGCTGCTGAACGTTCACCACCTTGCGCACCACCCGCCCGCCATACAGATGCACCAAGATCCACGGGTGCGACAACACCTTCGCGGCGCTCGGCCGTCTCCGCGGATCGCGCTGCAGCATGCAGCGAATAAGGCTCCGCGCTTCCGCCGACACTCCCGCCCAGGCAGGACCCGACATGTCAACTCTCCCGGCGAGCACCGACGCGAAGACCGCGTTGTCATCAGGACCCCAGAATGGAGTGTTCCCGCTGAGCAGAACGTATAAGATAACTCCTAGAGACCACACATCGGCTTCCACGCCGTATTCCCCGGTCAGGACCTCAGGCGCCATGTAAAACGGCGAACCCGCGGCGCCGCTAGCCTTTGCACCCTCCTCGAGACCAATGGCCAGGCCGAAATCCGCGAGCTTCGCGAACGTCGCTTCCCTTCCGTTAACGAGCTGCTTCTTGAGGAGGATGTTCTCGGGTTTCAGGTCGCGGTGCATTACGCCGCGCGCGTGGCAAAATGCGACGGCGGAGACGATCTGGCGGAACAGCAGCGCAGCTTCCTTCTCCGGGATCCTTCCCCGTCGAATCACCTCGTCGAAAAGCTCCCCGCCTTCGCAGTACTCCATGACTAAGTGCACCTCCTTATCATCCTCGAAGACCGCGCGGAGATTAACTACGCCTGGGTGGCCCATCACGCGCTGCATTGCAGCGACTTCCCGGCGGACCTCCTCGCGGTCCGACTCGGAGACGAGGCGGCTCTTCTGAATTGTCTTGCACGCGAAGGTTTCGCCCGTGGCGTTGTCAATGCAGCGGCGAACCACCCCGAACTCCCCCGACCCTAGCAGATCAGCGTCAATTGTGAAATAATCCTTAATCGAGCCAGTGGGGAAGTCGAAAACGGGGATGGAGGTCGCGGTGGGCATGGTGGAGTCAAGGAGAGAGCTCTTGTGCAGTTTCTGAGGGTTCGAGTCAGAAGCGGAAGAAAGCTCCTTCTCGACGACGTCTAATTTTCTCTTACGGCTCATGTTGAGAGACTGCGATAGATGAAGTGGCTGAGTCATGTTTGGAATGCAAGAACGCTGAAAGCTGAATTCGAAGTAATGTAATCAATGCCTTCGAGCAATCGCTGGAAAATGGTCGTCACGTCAGGTGGATATATGTTTTAGAAACTCTGAATTTGGGCTTGGAAAATGGAAGAGTCAGCTGCACGCTTTTATGCGTGGAGGCGAAAGAGGGCGGTGGTGAGGTTGCGTGTGAGGTGGCGTGCCGTGCTGGTCTTTGTGACTCGTCGTCTCCCTTACTCCAGCCCCAGGCGTCCCTTGGGGAAACTGGGCTTCAGGGGGCACGGGGGGACGGGGAGAGGGGGTGACGAGAGAGGGGAGAGGGGAATCAGGGGAAGGGAGCGAGCCGAGGGATGCGTCAGCGAGGGAGGGCGGGGTGAAATGGGGAACGTTCCAGTCTCCAGGGGGGAACGCTCCACTGGAGAGGGGAGGTGGTTCCGAGCCGCCATGTGGATGCCGTGTTGTGCAGTGAATCTTGCCGGGCAGCTGGAGAAAGGTCTCACCACAGTTGATTCTCGGCGTGCTTTGTGGCCTAGGGGTTGGGGTGTGGGTGGAAGGAGGTAAGGTGGTGGTGGAGGGGAGACAGGAAGGTGCTCCAGAGTCCCGACTGTTCAACTGTTCGTCCCACACCTCCCCTCCCCTCGCCCAAGCTTTTACCGTAAGTGTGCTTGACACTTGAGTGTTGGTAGGGAAAAGGTCACCTTGCCCCAAAAATGAACTCGCACACGCAGCGACTGGTTATTGGCTGGCGATGCTTTGCCAGCTGGTGGTGCTAGCTGGCGCAGCTGGGGGAAGCTTTGCGGAGATGACGGTCAGGTGAGATGCGATGTACTTTCCAGGAATTTCGTCCTCCTCGAGAACCCTCCGCCAAAAACAGCAGGAAGGTTCGCGAGAACGGGTCGCATGTTGCCTCATGAACATGGCGATGCCATGTGGTGGGTCAGTTACGTCGCAGGACGAATCGCAGGAGGGAATTTGGGTTTGACGAGCTCTCTGGAAAGTTGGTGAGACTTCTCCGCCTATTTCCAGCGAACTCTGGTTAGGTTCGACAATAGCCAGCTATTGGTGCAAGCACACACGCATGCGTCACAGCGGCTCGCTGTTTGGTCCCCGGATTTGTTCGCAAAATCGGTAACCCAATCCTTCACGCGACGTCGACGTGTCACTGTCGTCAATCGTTTTACGAAAGCGACGTCACCACCAGCTCCATGTCAAACCCTTTCTGCAGAAGTCGTCACTCCATGATCCCTCAGTCATGACATCGCCTTGGTCACTGTCCTCAGCTTCCTCCTCCTCCTGAACAAAAAACACCCAAATCTTCTCAAGGGAAGTCCGGAAAGGTTTGAACTCTGCCCACCCTCTAGTCGTCAAGCTCCATTCTTTGCCCGGAAAAAACTCATCCGTAGTACGGGCAACATCGGCTACGCTAAGGAAAATCGGATCATCCCAATGTTGTAGGTGCAAGATCCGGCAAGAATGTATTGGATGGTCTCTCTGAGAAGGAGAATGGCTCTGGTCCTAAAGTTCTGGCCAGGGGGGGAGGAAAAGGGAAAACGTCCTCTTTTCCACCTATCGTTGCTCCTTACAGTAAAAATTTCTCCACTCAGCTGCTTGATGGTCACTGAAACTGCATGACTGAGAATTTGAAGCGGATGCTCTGTGGGCTAAGTACTGTACAGTGCTGTCATCATCCAGGTTCTCTTTACAACTCATCCAACCAACAACGCACGCATCCTGCCCAGGCAACCACCAATCACACCATTTTTAATGCCGGGCCTTTCGCCTGGATTCACGCACCTTGAACCTCTCTCAGCTCAGGCCCATTGCTTGACTTGAGCTTGTCGGCAGCATGGCATGGAATGGCATGATGGCAGTGAAGTAGCAGAGCTGAGGAGAACCTGGTTCTAGGGTTTCGGCCCAAATGCCGGGCAGGAGGGACGAACTTATCGGAGCAAGTTGTTCCGTCCGTTCCGTCTTGCTAAGCCTCTCCAACCGACATCCGCGTGTCAGACTTTCTCACTGACACTCGCATCGCCCACTGTCCCGTCCGCGTTTGTTGTTGGAGGCGGGTGGGTTCGTCTATTCTGGTGGTACACCCTATTTCGCGCTAGTAGAGCACCTGGTTGGAGAACGTACATGGATTGTAGAACGTCACCACGTTCAGAATGGTCTTGTCACCTACTGTACAAGCACAATGCGAAGAATGCGGTTAGGTAAGGTTATGCACTTTACAAAAAGCGTTGTCAACGTTTTCATCTGTTTGGGAAAGTTATGAAGCGATTACGGAGATTTTACGTCCTTGAGCCAGTTTGTCACGTGGTCCGGCTTTCCCCCCAGGTTGCCTAGGAACGTTTATTGGCACCAGATCGCATGAGACAAGTACTGTAGCGACGAGTCGCGCAAGGTGAAAAGGTTGAGAAAGAGGGTGTACAGACAAGCACTCGTTGTTGTCATTCTATCCGCCATAGTCACCGTCAGTCTCTCTAGTTCCCTCCAGTCCTGTTAGGAAGATTCACCAAGGATCTATTCTTGTCCCTCTCCCACCGCTCGTCTAGATATTTTGAAGCCGTCCCACGTCGATGGACGGCAGGGCCCTCGCTTTGCAGGAATTCTTTGGACAAGGTCGTCCTTCTGACAATTTTAGGTTTCTGTACCGTCCGTCCGACTTTCATCTCCATCATGAATTCGACCTTCCCCCAGCTTAGCGAGCACCCCTTTGTTTTGGGGGAGCTCGTCTTTCTCGACTCTTAACGGTTTTTTCATGTGACGAAGCATCCTCTCACAAAGGCAAGGAATTATACTCGCAGTTAATACTGTATGAACTGAATCCTTTTTCATGCCTGCTGAACACTGACAGTGGTGCTGTTCGCCAGCACCATTATATCCAAAAACCACGGGATAACGACGGGATCAGGAAGGCGGGTCTCGCCTTCCTGATCCCGTCAGTTAGAGTTTGTTAACCTCCGTCAGCTTGGTCAGCCCGTGAAAAAAGTGCCGAGCCTCACCTACCGTCCAAACCAACAAACAAAGTGGGCGTCTGGCGAACGCCCACTTTTCTCCACCAAATCTAACAGTTCGACGGCATCTGGAAGCGGGGACGAAACTTCGTTCCCAGGCAAAATGCCATCCCCTAGCCATGCCATCGTCATGCCGCGTTTTTCAAAGCACAGCGGTGGCACAGCCGACGCATTGCTGTTCAGAGGGTAACCCTTGAACAAGCCTGCAGTTTAACAAAGGGGGGTTCGTATACCCCCCATTTTTCCCTCCCAAACACACCTTCGAAATGCCCCCCGCGCATAACTTGAGTTGTGTCTGGGCATGAGCACGTGGTAGCGGGGGTTGTGTTTGAGCGGGGTGTGTTTTATTTGCGATTTTTCCCCGCGTTGAGCAATTTTTGGTCAGCAGGCAGCACAAGGGTCAGGGATGAGCAAATTTCGCGCCATTGGGGGGAAGGTGGGGATGGACCTTCCCGATGCGGTTGAGAAAATTCGCCTTTCGGGCGCGCGTAGTTTCTCGGGCGGCATTTCGCCCAAACCTCGGAGGAGGGTTCCGCCCCCGTTTCCATATGCGGTCGCGATGCTGATGCCATCGTTTTCTGTTGAAGAAACGATTTGCTGGCGAACAGCACCAGTAACGATTAGCCCATCCAAGGCAGCCACAGAGCTTGTAACGAATGTTACACTGACGGGAAATGCTGAATTAACTAATGATGCAGATAGTGTAACACTTCAGACATTATGCAAGCACCCGTTCCACATGCTGCATGTGGAGCGCAGTAGACGGCCAGGGACTTGTACTCTTGTCTGAGGCAACTGTGCTGTAGCATGTCTTTGTTATAACTTGGGAAAGGAAATATAGAGCATACAAAGGCAGATGATGCATGATAATAGCTCTAACACAGAGCACCTCCCATCCCATGCTATAATGTCTCATGCTATTGAAACAGGAGCCGGAGCATCTTCCGGCAATCCCAAGGGCGCATTCTCACAGCACGAGTTATCAACCCGGTACAGTTCCCACTCCTTGATCCCGCACCGATCCAGCGCTGCTTTGAGCCGAACCGCATGCTCAGGTCCAGGCCACTCCCCATCCTTGGACACGAGTACAGCTCCAGTGTACGACTGCCCTGCCGCCCGGGCGGCGCCACTGTAGTAAAACAATCCCCATTGGAAATCGTCTGTTACGTCCACGATGCGCCAGAATTCCTCCGAGATCACCCCGTTATCGAGCACTGTGAAGGTGAAGGTTCCGGGAACCTTCCCTCGTCGCACGCGGTAGTGGCGCCGGCGCCATAGTGACCGTCCATCCAGGGTGCGGATCTGCATGGGTGAAGCGAGGGGATGAGTGAAGGGAGGGTAGAATATGGGAGAAGGTTACATGTGTGTGGTGCATGTGGTAGTGGGCGGCGCCATAGTGACCGTCCATCCAGGGTGCGGATCTGCATGGGTGAAGCGAGGAGAGGAGTGAGGGGAGAGGAAGGAGGGGAGAGTGTGGGAGAAGGGTACTCGTGTGTGGTGTATGTGGTGGTGGCAACAGCGCACAGTGACCGTTCATCCAGGGTGCGAATCTGCATGGGTAAGGTGAGGAGAGGAGAGGAGAGGAGAGGTGAGGGAAAGGGAGAGTACGGGAGAAGTGTACATGCATGTAGAGGATGCAGTAGTGACGTCACACACCACAGGGATTGTCCACTGAGGGTGCGGATTTGTTATGAATACCTTTTGGTGAGGTGGAAGGAGGGAGAAGGGAGGGTATGACAGGGAGCAGGGTATGACAGGGAGCAGGGTACAGGATGCCTCATATCTTGGCTTAGTTGTATGTGCATGTGTTTGAGTGATAAGGATGAGCGTGGAGAGGGATGGCCAAAGGTTGCAATAGCAGGAAGGAAGGAATAGGGTGGAGATGGGTGTAGAGGTGGGGAATGCGTGAGAGGGTGGAGAGTGTGGGGTTTAGGGGTTGGAGGAATGGAATGGAGAAACAGTGGAAAAGGGTCCTGCTAAGGATGGAAAACCGTACCGTGAAAACAGGGTCGTACCACACCGAGCCTCGCGCCTTGCCTCGGTAGAATATCTGGTACTGGCACGGGAACTGGTCGTACGCAGCATTCTGCCCGGCCACAACCCGCCAGCTCCAAGGCAGCTGCCCGAGCCACCCGACGAAAATATCTTCTGCCCGCTCATGCGTGACAGGCTGCCCGCGAAGGTGTGTGAGGGGGAGGACGGTGGGGCGGTCGCGGATTTCGGCTGTCATGCCGAGACAGTTGTGCTTCTGTAGCACGCAGAGGGAGAAGGCTTCGAACTTGGGGGTTTCATATGACACGATGCACTGATAGCTGCACACCTGGTGGTGGTGGAAGGGGGATGGGGAAGACGTAGGGAATCACATCGCTGGGACAACCCGAGGTTTCATACGGTTTCATATGACACGATGCACTGATAGCTGCACACCTGGTGGGGACAGACACAGGGGAAATCAAGTAAGGGGAAAGGGGAAAATGTGATGTTGGCTGTCATGGTGAGGCAGTTGTACTTCTGAAGCACGCAGAGAGAGAAGGCTTCGAAGTTGGGTGTCTCATAGGAGACAATGCAGCGATAGCTGCACACCTGGTGGTGGCGGTCAGGAGGGGGGATGGGGGAAGGGTTAGGAAGGGGGATGGGGGAAGGCAGACAGCGGGCAATGGTAAAAGGGGAAGAGCAACTGGTCACGCAACTGGCGGTCAGTTGTGCTTCTGCAGCACGCAGAGGGAGACAGAGGGCCGGGGGGGGGGGGGGGGGAGGGGGTGGCAGTGCGGCACTGCTCATCCAGCAGGCAGTCGAAAATCTCAAGGGGTGGGTGGGAGACAGGTGGGGGAAGGTAGCTCACCTGATCTGTAGGCCCACACTCGTTCAGGCAGTTGATGGCCGTGCGGCACTGCTCGTGCAGGAAGCACTCGAGAATGACCGGCCCACAGTTTCCCGCCGCACTGAAGAGTGGACGAGTCTGCTGCTACCGTCCATGCAACAACCGAGTGCTCACCTGGTCCGTGGGTCCGCACTCACTCAGGCAGTTGATGGCCGTACGTGCGGCACTGCTCGTCCAAGAAGCACTCGAGAATCACGGGTCTGCAGTTGCCAACCATGCACTGCAGCGATCCCCAAGGAAGGTCCTCCCTTCACACACACCTGGTCAGTGGGTCCGCACTCATTGAGGCAATTGATAGCCGTGCGGCACTGCTCGTCCAAGAAACATTCCAGGATGACAGGCCCGCAGTTGCCGACCATGCACTGCAGAGAGGACGAGTCTGCCGCCCGCAGGTTGCGGAGAGCTGGCACATCGACGATGTAGGCATTGACGAGAGCGAGGATGACGAACCAGATGTCGTCTGCACTGCGACGCTCCCAGCAGGATTCAACCAGGGTGTACGTCTTGGGTATGGAACAATGGGAGTGGAGGGGAGGGGAAGGGTGGGATGGGGACGGGGGTGGTTGAGGGGATGAGAGAGCAGGAGGGGTGGCAGGTTGCGCAGAGCAGGCATGTCGACAATGTGCGCGTTGACGAGAGCGAGGATGACGAACCAGATGTCATCAGCACTGCAGCGCTCCCAGCAGGACTCGACCAGGGAGTACGTCTGGGGGGCGGAGTGGGGGGGGTAGAGGAACGGACGGGGGAAGGGGTTGGGGGAAAAGGGAAAGGGGAACGTCGGTGATGCAGGCGTTGACGAGAGCGAGGACGACGAACCAGATGTCGTCTGCACTGCGACGCTCCCAGCAGGACTCCACCAGCGTGTATGTCTGGATTAGGGGGACGGGGTTGGGAGTGGGGATGGGGATGGGGATGGGGATGGGGATGGGGATGAGGTTAGGGGTGGTTGAGTTGAGGCATTGACAGGGGCAAGCACGACTAACCAGATGTCGTCAGCGCTGCGACGCTCCCAGCAGGACTCCACTAGTGTGTACGTCTGGGGAGCAGATTGGGAGGTGAGGGAAGGGACACGGGACGGGGGAAAGGGGGAAAGAGGACGGGAATGGGGGATGGGGGAATGGGGGACTGAGGAGAAAGGTGGTTGAGGAGATGAGGGAGCAGGAGGGGTGGCAGTGGCAGGTTGCGCAGTGTAGGCACGTGCACGATATAGGCGTTGACGAGAGCCAGCACCACCAATCCTGAGTGTCACTATAATGAATGGTGCGTGCAGGCCCTCAAACAGTGTTGGTGAGTTGCTGAGTGAGCAGTGTTCTAGGCTGGGCAGCAGTGTTCTAGGCTGGGCAGCAGTGCTCTAGGCTGGGCAGCAGTGTTCTAGGCTGGGCAGCAGTGTTCTAGGCTGGGCAGCAGTGTTCTAGGCTGGGCAGCAGTGTTCTAGGCTGGGCAGCAGTGTTCTAGGCTGGGCAGCAGTGTTCTAGGCTGGGCAGCAGTGTTCTAGGCTGGGCAGCAGTGTTCTAGGCTGGGCAGCAGTGTTCTAGGCTGGGCAGCAGTGTTCTAGGCTGGGCAGCAGTGTTCTAGGCTGGGCAGCAGTGTTCTAGGCTGGGCAGCAGTGTTCTAGGCTGGGCAGCAGTGTTCTAGGCTGGGCAGCAGTGATCTAGGCTGGGCAGCAGTGTTCTAGGCTGGGCAGCAGTGTTCTAGGCTGGGCAGCAGTGTTCTAGGCTGGGCAGCAGTGTTCTAGGCTGGGCAGGTTGGGAAATAATTGTGGAAGCTCGGTTTCCTCTCCTCTGGCACACCATGCAACCTGATGAGGATTTCAAGACTAGCGACGCACTCACCTGAACCGTGTTTTGAGTCGACTCAAAACACGACTCATTACACGTTGAGTTCGGTTACCTCTGGCACACCATGCATACCACCTGATGAGGATTTCAAGACTAGCGATGCACTCACCTGAACGGCCTTCGCCCCCTCCTTCCACCATCCCCATTTTGCTGCGAGCTTCTGGGGCAGGTTCAACTTTTCCGGGTTCAGCCCGCCCAGCAAGGTGAGCTCAGAGAGCGACACGTGGCAGTCAAAGGCCACCCGGGCAGGGGCGGTTGAAAAAGTGGGGACGAGCTGGGCAGCGGACTCGGCACTGTTCACGGCGACAGCCAAGAGGAGATCAGCTTGCTGGGCGGCAGAGAGGAAGTGGGAGTGGGAGGAGGAGGAGGGGGAGAGGGAGGAGGAGGAGAAGACGAGAAGCTGCACGGAAGGTTCCACCCAGTTGACTCTGCGAGCCTGGGGAACCAAGAGAATGGAAGAGGTTGGGTGGGGGGTGGGATGGAAGTTAAATGAAGAAAGGGAGGAAACGACGAAGAGTGGGATGGCGATATTGAGGTATTTGATCAAATTAAAAATAAAGAAGAGGAAAGGAGGATCGGGGTGTAGAGTGGACTACGGATAAGGTGCAGGAATGTTGAGGGAAAAGTGTATGCTGAGTGAATGTGGAGCGTAATGATTAGATAATGACATGGCTGAATGATCAGAGCGTTATGATGGGGGAAGAACGCCTAGTGATGGTAATGGTGGTGGTGGAAGGCAACACATTCCAATAAAGGCTGAAGTCTCCCCGCTACAAAAAGCTGTAACGGGCTTCAATGTTTTCTTTTTTTCTACTTTAATTTTTTCAATGTAGAAAGTTCCTCATGTTCCGTCCACTTCCATACGTGTGTAGCAGATACAGTTACAAATACAAATACGATTTCCTCCATCACTCGCTCGTTACGCTCGCCACCGGAATGTGAGATGCGGAATATTACTATTGGAGGGTCACAAGACAGCCTTGACTCACCATTTGTCGTATCACTTCGTCCCACGTGGCACCGCCGTACGGGCTCACCACGTCAGCACCCACCACTGCCACCACCCGCGCGCCCGTGTCAGCAGAGAACTGCGTTTCATAACCAGTCATGCCACCGAGCACCTCTGCGACGTCGCTAGGAGCTTGTGCGACGTCGACGGCGTCATCTGAAGCTCGGGCGACAGCTCGAAGAAGTGACGGAGCGCGAAGCGAATCAGAGTTTCTATTCGTGCAACGGCGCGAAGGGGTGACGTGGCAAGGCTGACGTGTCACATGATGCCGTTGAACGAAAAACTGACGAGGTGGTACTGGAGAAAGGTGCAATGTCGGGAGAAAGCCGGAGTTCAAGGAAGAGTGCGGAGGAAGCGGATGAAGCTGACGTGATAAGGCCGTTCCGGCTGTTCCCGAAATAAAAGAAGCAGCGACGTTGAGGCTCGTACACATTGCGCCGAGTTTTCCGAGTTGCACGCAGCGAAGGACTTCTGGGTCCTACCGAAATTCAAGAACGAGATACAATATTATCAAGGTAAGGAGACGGGATCAGCAGAACAATGCCGCGCGGGAGATTGAGATTCAGCTGACTTACTGTGGCCAAATCCAACACGAAATCGTATTCCAAGGCTGGGAAAATCGGGAAATGCCAGACGGAAGCTATGAGAAAGTAGGCGAAGGGAAGCACAGGGAGCATGAAAAGTGAGCCAAAGTTGAAGTGAATGGCTTGTGCTTGAACTAGATGTACCGAAATCTAACGTTTTGTCTTTCTGCGGAAACGTACACAGACACGCTGTACCGTTTTGGCTGCGAAGAAAGCCAGACGGAGCCCTCGAGGCGCTGACGTGATTCGTCGTGTTGTTCTGTGCTCTGCACATTTGTTCCTGATTGGTTAGGGCTGGTCATGCTGGACAGACGTCTCGTGTCAGCAAGAAAATATCGTGCCACCACGACTTGGAAAAGAGCTCCAGCTGACGCGGACCACGGTGCTTTTCACGTGGCAGTGTCTGAACGGCTGGATTCGAGATGCCTGACTATAGTGGTGGTGGCAATGAAGAGGTACAGTATGGCATCGGAACTTATTTCAGATGCATGCAATACACCCAGATCATGAGCTTTCACGAATGGCCAAAATTAGTCCTGAGCTAGTGTTTTAGTCTCCACATGTCTACCTACTATTCCACGTCCATTCCAAAAATAGCATTACTCCTCTGAACCGTCGGCTATTACAAGGTGAGTTGCTCTGGGTCCTCCACAATCTTCGCAAAAGTTTGGAGGAACTCTGCCAGATCAGCACCATAAATGATCCGATGGTCCGCTGTTACATTCACCTGCGCAACGGAGTGACAGTTAGCTCAGTGGAGAATGTGTAGCTGAGGCACTTGTCACACTGAAAAACGCAATTGAATGAATGCAGGTTCACACCCAAGACATCAAAATTGGAAAAAGCAACGAGTGAAAGAAACGGAACGAGATACAGGAAGGGGCAGGGGGTCTTTAGGAGGCAAGCGAATATAGGGGGGTCTCTTAAAGCTTCTTGGCTGGTCAGAGTCAGAACCACATGTGGACCTACCCAACTCATTGCAGTGAACCTACCCAACTGCTCCGCACACTCACGCCTGCACAGACCAACCCAACCAACCCCTATCCCAGCCTTGACTGCCCGTTGTCTGACCTGCATCTGCCTCTTGATGCCGAAGCTGCCATCCTCTGCTGCCACCATTGTTGGGATGGACGATCCAACGGCCATGATCGCACCCTGCAGGGACATTGATTTCGATACACATGCAGTGCAGTACACTCGTTAATCTGATGATGGCATATGACAGGAAGAGGAGGAAAGGATTTGATTGCTCACACGTTTCCTCTATTCTGACACTACCAATCCCTACGAACCACATGGCTAGCAGCCTAGCACCAGCTCACCTGGCCAATGGGCAGGATGGCATCAAACCGGTCCACTCCAGACATGGTTGAGTTAACTAAAGGATTCCCACACTCTCAATCCCCCCACACACGACCCACACATTCCACACAGTCAGCACCATCGCCTTACCTGGCCAATGGGCAGGATGGCATCAAACCGATCCACTCCAAACATGCCCAGGTTGGACAGCGTGAAGGTTCCTGGAAGGAGAGACAAGCCGGAAAATTTGGTGGCAAACGAGAGAAGCACACGAATGGTTGGTTCGGGTACGAGCAAGGGGATTATATCAGAGTAAACCATAATAGCACGCCCCCTCCAAAAAACAAAACCACAAGCCGTAGTACAATTGCCAAATCACAGCGGCATGCCCCAGCTGCCTCGACAGGGAATTCACTCACCAACCCTCCACTTTTGGCTAGTTTTGAGACGTCTAGTTTTGAGATGTCTCAAAACCAGCGGCATGCCCCAGCTGCCTCGACAGGGAATTCACTCACCAACCCTCCACTTTTGGCTCTCTGCTAGCCTTCTCCCTCCTTCCCTTCCCTGCTGCCCTACCCCCTCCCCACTCCCCTACCCACTGCCCTGTTCATGTCTGCCTCGTCTCACCTCCGCTGTAGTCGCCTGGGCTCAGAGCCTTCCTCCGTGCCTTGCTCACCAGCTCCTTCCACTGCCCTGACATCGTGAACAGGTCCGTCTGGGATGATAGGAGAGAACGAAGGATGTAAGGGGGGCAAAAAAGGGGGTGGATTGTGGTGGTGTGAGGTATGGGTAGTGAAGAACAAAATGCATTCCTCCGTGCCTTGCCCACCAGCTCTTTCCACTGCCCTGACATCGTGAACAGGTCCGTCTGGGATGACAGTGACCTCTATTCGTCATTCCCTACTTGGTCCGCGTTCTTGAGCACAGGAGTGATGAGCCCGCCGTCCATGAGCACAGCCACCGCCACGTTCACGATTTCGTTGCACTGGAAGCTCTTTGTCAAATGCCTAACAACATTCTTTCTCTTACCTATTAACAATTCCTTCCTACCTGGTCCGCGTTCTTCAGCACGGGGGTGATGAGCCCCCCATCCATGGCCACAGCCACCGCCACGTTCACACTCTCGTTGTAATGGAAGCTCTTGCCATCCTTGCATGCCGAGTTCACGATGGGGTGCCTCGCCAGCGCAATGCCCGCTGCCTTGGCGAGCAGGGCCGTCATGGTCACTCCCTTGCCCTTCACCTGTGGGCGAGGGAGAGGCGAACCGAGAAAGGGAGCGAGAGAAGTGAAGGGAGAGGGTACAGAGAGCAGTGAGGGAGGAGGGGAGAGAGAGCAGTGGGGGGGCGGGGAGAGAGAGTGGGATGGGTGCGCTGCGGGCAGTGGAAGCTCTTGCCATACTCGCATGCAACGTTCACTTTGGGGTGCCTTGCCAGGGCCATGCCTGTTGCCAGGGCCGTGCCCACTGGCATGGCCAAAATGGTCACATCACACCCTTGTCCTTCACCAGCGCCCGAGGGAGCAGTGAGCGCGGACAGACTCACCCGCTTGTAGAGCGCGTCGAGGGCGTCGGTGGTAACCGTGTAACCGACGCGGAAGGTGGGCACAACGAGCGTGGCCTCCATGTTCCTCGCCACCGCCCCCTGCATCGCCGTGAACGCCACCACTGACGCCCCCGCTGGCAGCGGTGCTGCTGCCGCTGCAGGCGCAGCAGCAGCACGAGCGACAGGAGCAGGAGAGGCAGCAGCGGGAGCAGGAGCGGCGATGGTGGGCGCAGGGGCGGTTGCGATGCCTGCTGCTTTCTTGATGTCGTCCGGGGTGATCCGGCCGTAGGGGCCTGAGCCTGCTACCTTGGCCAAGTCAACCTGATGGAAGGGAGGTGTGGAAGGGGACGGAAGTGAGGGAATGAAAGAGGGGGATAGGAAGAGCCTGGCTGCATGCAAAGGACGGACGAGGAGGCTGACGGGAACGGATAAAGAAGTGAGGAAACAGAGGAGGGACAGGTGGTGGTGGGTGAAGGAGGTAATGTATGTCTGTCTGGTGACTGTTGCAACTGTGTTGGTGTGAACCTCGTGTGTGCATTGCATCATACCTTGTGCTTCTTCGCCAGCTTCTTTGCCTCGGGCGTTGCAACCACCTTCCCAGGGGTACCAGGTGCAGGGGGCGGGGGAGGGGGAGCGGCAGCAGGAGGGACAGGAGCAGCGGCCGCAGCAGGTGTAAGGCATTACATCATACCTTGTGTTTCTTCGCCAGCTTCTTTGCCTCGGGCGTCGCAACCACCTTCCCAGGGGTAGCAGGCGCGGCAGGCGCAGGGGGCGGGGGCGGGGGGGCGGCAGCAGCAGCAGGCGCAGGAGCAGCGGCGGCAGCAGGTGCAGCGGGAGCAGCAGCAGCAGCGGCACCGTCAGAAACGCCGAGCTTGGCGGCCTTCTTCTTGGCGGCCTCCATATCGTCCTCGCTCTCTGCCAGGATGGCGATGGCTGCACCCACAGGCGCCACCTGGAGCGGTTGGAAGCGGTGGGAAAGGATTGGATGGATGGATAGATGTTGGATGGAGTCTAGCCTAAACAGTCACCGGTTGACGAGTACCAGCGCCATAGTGCAGATGAATAAACACCTTTATCCAGAGCTCACCTCGCCTTCCCTAACGAGGATGGCGGCGATGTTGCTGTTGCAGGACGTCTCCACGACCATGTCCCCAGTAAACCTCGCTACCGCCCAATTCCTGTCACTGCAGCTCACCAGTTCCTTGCACGCACCACGATCACTCATTCCTCACCTCGCCCTCCCCGACGAGGATGGTGGCGATGATGCCATCGTAGAACGTCTCCACGTCCATGTCCGCCTTGACCTTCCTTACGCCCCATTCCCCGTCACTGCACCTCAGACATCCCTTGCACCATTCCCTCTCACTGTGACATACCTCGCCCTCGCCCACGAGGATGGTGGCGATGATGCCATCGTAGAACGTCTCCACGTCCATGTCCGCCTTGTCCGACTCCACCACCACAACTGACTCGCCCTTGCTCACCGTCTCTCCCTCGCTGCAACGTAGAGGGGGTAGAGAGGGGAGAGACGATGGGAGGAAGGGAGAGCCGAGGAAGAGGGGAGGGAGAGGTCAGTCCGCCTTGTCCGACTCTACCACCACCACTGACTCGCCCTTGCTCACCGTCTCTCCCTCGCTGTGACAGGGGAGAGAAAAATTGTGGGAGAACGAGAG